ATGTAGTTTCAGAAAAATAAATATTTAATTTTTACTATATCTAATAAAAAAATCATTATATCTGAGTACTTTACCTACAAGGTAATTTTTATATGAAGTATAAATATACTGTTTTTGATCTTACAGTTTTCACATTTCATTTGCGTAATCTATAGAACCTCATAAATGAAAATCAAAAGTTTTTTTTAATTTAGATAAACTTTTATATTTTACTTTCCATTTTCTCTATTATATCACTAACTCTCTATTATCATCAACATACAGTGCGATGAAATGTTTGAAATTAACAAATAGAAATATATAAATACCTTTCAACTCTTCCTAGAAATCCACTGGAATAGTCATATCTTTCTTATATGTGTAATTACAATCTTCATCTTTTCAATTACAGCTTATTTCCGATACGACATCTTACCTCTTGTCACAAAATAGCTTTTCTCTATTAGTATTGCCTTCCATCAGCACAAACTTTCAATGCTTGTCACAAGTCTTCCACCTCTCACTTTTGCATATCCACATATAAATAATTATGCAGCAGCTTTCCACCAATAAGATCACAACACAACCCCTATCGTAACCAGTACCCTCTCTAAATTTTGCACTCATTAATCATTTCTTGATTGGCAGTAGAACTGTATAGATGTGCTTGCAAGTTTGTTGACATTTTCCTTTATACTACAAACTTAGTTTTTCTTTACTATGTTTTGTTATTTCTTTATTTACAGGGGCATTTTTGCTAGCGTATTATAGATCCCACTCTGTGGCAAGTGGTGCCAGACCAAGTATACTTTTTTTTTAAATCTGCACTATTCATCCTGTGACCAGGCTCAATTATGTTGTAGCTCTTCCTACTGTGGACCTGATGTACAATTCTAGATGCTGCCAGGTGTTGGTTATATGTCTCCATTCAGTTGTCATCTATGCCAAAACAATTACATCACAGGACTAGGTTATGCATACCGTAGAGATGAGGCGTTCCATAGGACTGCTGGTAGTTCTCTCTAGTGGTATTTTGTTTCTTAAATATGTTTGTCTCAGACCATATCTTATGGACACACATGAGTAAAGCAGACAGTGATTACTGCCCATCTCTAATGCTCAATGGCATTGAGACTCTTCCTGCTGTGGACCTGACGTACATTTCCAGATGCAGCTCAGTGTTGGTTGATCGACTTTATCAATTTGGTAGCTCTACTTTTCAAAATAGGGTACTGCTGTCACCCGTTGCATTCCTCTTTCCTACCATCCTCCAGATATACATTTTCGGTGGGTCTGGGTTGATTGGAGATGGTCCAGTCACGATTAGAGTTGTGTCGATGGTGTGACACCCTTTCTACCATGGATCTGATGTACAGTTCCAGATACTGCCAGGTTTTGGTTGAAGCACTCTGCCATATCACGACTTTTATATTTATATATATACTGTAGATTGACTCTCAGGCTGAGACATTTCTCCTACCTACCATCCTCTGGATGTGGTTCTCTGGGGGGATCAGATGCTGGTTGGAAAAGGTCCAGCTAAGTAAGTCCTCACATATGTTCTGGCTGGGATCCTTCCTCTTACCATGGACTGGATGAGAAATGTTCAATGCCATCAAGTTTGGGACTAGAGATGCATCCCAGATTTGCAGTCCCTCTTTCTACCATTTGCTGGACTTTGATTCCTCGTGGATCTGGTGTTGGTTTTAAGTGGATACAGCACCTGTATTCCCACTTATGTATGGCTAGGTATCCTCCTCCTACTGCAATCTGGAAGCACCATACCCAGTGCTGCCAGGTTTTGGTCCAGAGATGTTATCTTACTGAGGCCTTCCTCCTTTCTACCATTCCCTGGATGTCGGATCATGGTTGATCAGGTGTTGATTGGGTTGGAAATGCAAGCAAGTGGAGACGGATTTTGGTATGGAAGCTCATCTTTCCCACCAATTTCCGTTTTGAGGTGAAGAGGTAGGTGATCCTCTGCCTACCATGGAACTGTTCTACAATTCCAGATTCCATGACGTGTTGAATGAGGTTGAAGAGAGCTCATCTAGGTTTTCTCAATTGCATCTACCCCTCCACCACATTAATGTGGGATTCTAGCTATGTGTGCAGATATGTGAATCATTTTTTAAGTCAGCATTTTTCTTACCTGAAAATATATTTTCAGTAGATACTTACCTCTTCGCACCTTCTAACCCTTCCTCTCCACTACTGGTGCATGCTATTTTTGCCTCATCTAAGAATGAATTTAATTTTAAGTGCAAGTACTTATGGGGATCTACTGTATAAGGATGATGTCTTGTCCTACTAATGGTGAAAGGTTAGTGTCTTAGATGGAAGACAGTTCAGTGCTAGTGGCATGCACAAAATACCAAAGGCAGACATGAAAGGAATATCTACTGTCTGCAGAAAGGTAAGTATTTATCAGAAATACATTTTTAAGTAAGGAAGATGTTAACTTTCATGTAAAACTTAAAAAGTAATTTAGAAGATGTTCACAGTATTTTGTTCTGATTTTACAGTTTCTCCATCTGATTTTTTTTTTTGCCATTTCAGAAATCAGTGCGTGGAGAGCCTTGAAAATAACATGACTAAATATTTTGAAAAGAGATGATTTTTTGTGGATTACTGAAAAATAAAATAAGAGGTCGGTTTTAAATCATATTTTTTGTACAGGTCAAACAGAACACTATTTCTTGACAAGAGTAGCTGTATGTTTGGAAGCAAAAAAACTTGAATGGTTGTAAAACAACATAAATACTGTTTAATTTATACAATTAATATCCACCTAGAAAAACAAGTAGTCTAACAAAACACAAATTAACAGATATTTAAAATAAACAGTACATCAAAATATTAAAAAAAACCTAAAGCTTAAAGAAATTTGCATGTTTTTTTATTTTTGTACATTTATTTGTAGTTTTGTGTTCCTATTTAATACCCTCAATTTAGAATTGTTGGTAATATTCTTTAGCTTGTCTTTTGTGGAGCTACTTACTTGTTCTAGCTAGCTATTAAAGATACAAAATAAAATATATTCTGTGTTTATTATTTTCAGTTCTTATCATGCCACTGCTTTTCCTTTCAAACTGTTATCACTAATAAATTGCTGATCCTATAATTTAAAATTGAATGGCATATTTCAGATCACTTTTGTATTGTTGTAACATGTTCTTTTATTGTGTGGGTTCTTTTTAGTTATTTGGTGAAAATAATGCAAAGTCCAGTCCATATAATGATAAAAAATTTGTTTATTTCCTCCTTTTATTTTTTACAGGTTACTATTACTTGTACACAATTTAGGCCCAAGTTAACAAATAGCATTTTCACTTTCAAAAAAATTTACTCACAAATGGTGCTACAACTTACATACAAATAAACTTTCATGTATGAGTTCATGGCTAATCAATCTAGCAACTGAATATATGCATTAACTGAAAGTGACTCAGTGCTTAATAATTCTTGTATTTATAATGTATCTGTGTTTAGCAAATTTTCTTTATCATTAACATTTGCTAAAATTCTATATATTACATCACAGGATTAGGTTATGCATACCATAAAGATGGGGTGTTCTGTTGGACTGCTAGTAGTTCTTTCTAGTGGTCTTTTGCTTCATAATTTTGTTTGTCCCAGACCGTAATATCATAGACAGGTAAGTAAAGCAGACAGGGATTGCTGTCCATCTCTGGTGCTCCGTGGCATCAACTCTTCCTACCGTCAGGGACCATGGAGGCCTGTCCTCGTGAGTGATGCATCATACCACTCAGTTGCGAATCAGTTTGTGATTGGCCAAGATTTTTGCATCATATCCCATTATTTCATGTTGGCTATCTACTATAGTGATTTGAGTCTTCATGGCTAGCTTTATTAAATAATCTGAGCTGGAGCTCTGTAAACCAAATTTGTCACGATTAGAATAGTTTCTCTACAAGAGAACAGTAGTACCAATATAAATGATGTCATTGTACTGTAAAGTTCTTGTGTTTACATCACTCATTTATTGTAAAATATGGTAAATTAATATAAAATATAATAAATTTTCACCCAGCTTTAAAATTGGGGACTTAGCAAGATAAAGATTAAGAAATGTTCTTATCACCAAGGAACAGTGATGAAGTAACAATTGTGGTATTTTATGTAATTGGAGATAATCATCCTGATTTATTGTAGATAACACTACTTGGAAAGGTTTATCATTTATTTGATTTTGGAATTTTTTTTATTTTGTTGAGGAAAATCTATGTTTATTGGCTAAACTTTTCAGTGCACATTATATTCATATGTTTGTCATTTTTGTAACTCTGCTTGGCACTATGAATATGCCATATACCAAGACATCCTTAGGATGTTAGCTGATGGAAATGGAGTGGCCTTTTCTGTTTTATTCATAGCATTATCTCTTTTCATCATAAGACAATTTTAAAAAGGTTTAGGTCTAATGTCATCCCTGGAGCAGACATCAGCTGTAGTTGTAATTTCTGCTGGTAAGGCATTTCCTGATTCAGATGTGTTGGTTATGTAGGGCACCTATCTGCTTAGGGTATATCATGAGACCTTGGGACTTCACTAGTACTTGTGTCATACTCATATTAAGAGACTGATTGATGATTCATGGTAAGATTTAGGCTTTCAGTAAATCATTCCTTTCCAGTTTGAAAAAAAAATAATTATTTCTCCTACTCATTCCTAGATTCCACTTCTGTTTTATGTGGTTATTTTACACTTCTGTTATTTGGTCTTATACAGCAAACTGAGACTGATACATGAAGCAAAATAGCTAAACACAAATTTTTAAACTATTTCCTTTGAACATGATACCCTTTAAAAATCTTTTTAAATTTTTTTATGTTGTGATCTTCTCACTTGTTGTTTTTCAGAAAATTTTTGTAATTGTTTAATGTTTTGTTTTTGTCTTTTGCTTCATTCTTCCTTTAAGGTTGTTACCTTTAAACTGGATTTGTTCAAATTTCTCAGCCATATCCCCACTTATTTCTTCTCTACACCTAGCAGTTACCTTAGCATATCACATAATGAAGATAAGCTGATCCCTTCCATGGTGCCAACTGTTCTACTTTCCACTACATATCCTTATTGAGGATATAGAGGAATGAAGTGACATTTGGAAATATTGTAAGCTAATTGTAATTTTTTTTCATGTATTGCATTTTTTAAAGTTTATGCTTTAGTTGTAATCATTTGGAAAATTTTTATTTTCACTTGTCTTCCCTTTCTTTGTTTGTTCTTGCCCCTTTTGGGAAACAAGAAGGTCAACCATTTTTACTGATTTTTTTATGTTTTTCTTTCTTCTGCTTTTTAATTAGTTGGTGTCATCATTTTGTATACTTGTTGTTGCAGTGTGTATGAAACTCTGGTGTGTTTGAAATGGTTAATTCTTTTTCTGGTAGATTCAGCCCACTTTTATCTCCTTGGCTGGGAAGCTGTGGATTATTTGGCTGAACATGCTATCAAATTATTTGCAAATTTTTTAACAATTTCATTCCTACCTGTTTATCACACACATAGACTTTGTGTGTGGATCACTTTAAACAGATCATTGTTTCAACCAGGAAGTTTCTTTTGATAATTATTTGACCTTCCAGTGTAGTGGGGGATTATGCTTTTTACTCACTTAATGTGGTTTGAATTGTCATATTTTCTGGTAGGTTTGTTTTTGGAGCACATTTCCTCTTGTATGAATTAGATGTCAAGTAGAATAACAAAAACTAAGTGTATTTAATGAAATAGTGCTGTTTTTGAGTGTAGAACTTTCATATTTTTTGATTAGCTAACTTCTGTTGCTCCACATTTGTGGTGTTTCATCTTCCTACATTATTCAATCAAGACTGTTGTGTTGTTCTTGCTTTCTATTTTGTCCCCCAGTGGCTCAATGGTAAGTCTAAAATCTTATAACTCTACAAATTGTGTTTTAATACTGTGGGGGACACAGCATAGATAGCCCATTGTGTAGCTTTGTGCTTAAAAACAAATAGACAAACAAGCATTCAGTTGTTATTAGCTCAGTTGTGTCTTTTATTTATGCTAATCTGTTACTTTTCTGTAAGTTCATTTGCTATATTAGGCTAGGATATGAACCTTAAACTCATTCATTTAAGAGTCTGGCCATTTCTTTTTGTTTTGCACTTGTATCGAAAAACTTACTTTATTTTAAAGCTTTTTGACCTTCTTTCAATTAATTAATCACCTGCTCAGGCCTTTATTCTATCTTCAGTGTTAGAGTATCATGCTATTTAGCACTTAAATTCTAAAGGTTACTTGTCCTTAAAATGTTTTTCAAAGGACAAAAGGTATTTTACTCTTTTCTTTGTTGTAATATACTGATTAGTGTCATCTTATGTTAAGAGTTCATTTAATGTTGATGTGTCATTGGTCATTCCAGCCTCTTCCAGGTATCTGTTTATTCTTTCCAAAATCATGAACTTATTTTACACATATGTGAACTTTAACTAACCAGCAAGTGACAGCATGTGGGATATTTTTGACTTGGGAATATAATATAGGCTGAAATATTGTATTTCATGGCATAAGGGTAGGGGATTCCTGTGAATCTCAAAACTTAAGGGGTTAAACCATCTGTTGGAGAGAGAGGTGGTAAGTGATGGAACTGCTTTTGATTCTTAATCTGTAACATTTGATAACCCATAGAACCAAGAACCATCAATCTTCATTTCTTGCTTGTTAAAAATTTAATGAAATCCATTAGAAATATTTTGTATCAAGGCATAGTACTGTGTTGTTACTTAACCTTACCATCTAATCAATAGTGCTCTTCATACACAATTGTTCCTACCCATTTTAGTATATTTGTTTTGTTGATAATATCTGTTTAAAATGTTTTGGCTAAGTCAAGTTTTGATTATATTTGTTATAAATATTACATATGATTATTGGTGCTATTCTAAAAGTATTTTCCGTGTTTTTGTTTGTTTTTTAAGTGGGGAAAATATGGAATATTGCAAGAAAAACAAGAACACTTAAGACCCTCCTCAGTGTACATAGAGGATGGCTGGAGTCAAAAAAGGTAGCTATCCATCTAAACAGATAAGAGCTGGACTTGCACCACTGGCATCATTTGAAGATTTGCCCTCAGATGACCTTGAAAGCCCTGACAGTATTAAAGAAGTGAAGCAAAGAGATATAAGTGGGCTACAACTTAGTGATCTGATCTCTGGTGGTGATGGTTTCAGTTCTTCCACACCTAAAACCATGACATCATCTGAATTGTCCACTCCCCAGATTTCGTCACCCACTGACAATGATGGCGATTCTCAGTGTACTCTAACTCCAAGTGATGGAGCAAAACTTTCATGCTCTTCTGGAAATGCAAGTGAATTTAAATTGCTGAAAGTAGGAGCAAAAGAAGGGAAGAGAAAGTCATCAGCAGGAAGCTTGCTTTCTCCAACACCAGATAGTCAACATTCACCAGCAGAAAAGTCTCATTCTAGAAAAAGTTCTTGGACAGACATTTTTCGTGGCCGCTCTCCTCAAAAATCTCCAAAGCTTAAAAAAAATGAGAGTATATCTAGTGATGAGAAAGAAAAAAGCCCAAAAAAGAAAGAGAAAAGTGGATTTTTTTCATTTCTTAAGGTAAGTGGAAGAAAAACTCCTGTGAGTAAAACTCCCACTCCACCATCATCTCCAGTTACTTCTACAAAAAGAAAAGAAGAAGAAAATGAGTATAAGTCTACTACTTCTGTTACTATTGTACATTCAGATATACCTCTTGACTCATTTCAGAAGCCTGTTGAGCAAGAACAAGGAGAAAAAAGCAGTGTCTTTATTCAGGAAACAGTAGCTCAAGTAAACTGTACAGCTACTATGAAACCTGTACCAAACCAGGAAAAAAAGTATGTTCCATGTACTGACAAGACAGAAGAATCTTCCATTACACAAAATCAGAAACATGGTAGTGGACTTTCATCTAGTGCTCCAGATGTTCTTGAATTAGTTAAAAGGCAGAAATACTTAGAAGGTTATATAGATTCTAGGACATCAAGAATGTGCCAAGAAGCATCTGAGACTTCTGGAACCATAAAAATGAGACATACTAACAAGAAGGAGTCACCAGAAGTAGTCTTTACTATTGGAAATGAAGAATATTACTCATCAGGTTCAGATATAGAAATAAATGAGATTACAAAACATTTAAAGACAAATGAAACAGATGATTATGATTGTGAAGCAGAAATACTTCTTGCTCAAGATTCTATAGACTATGAAGACTCTCCTCCTTTACTTGCCTCTCCAACGGGTACCAGTCTTCCAAAAGTAACAACTAAGCGACAGCATCTGGATGTTAATACTGTTCCAGTTGAAAGACCTCGTAGCACAACACCAATCAATATTGCCCCACTTGAAGCATATATTCAATCTGTTTCACCTTTGCCAGATCCAAATGTTGAAAAAATTCATCTCACCCTTCCAGGTGAACAGTTCAGTAGCAGACCCAAAAGTCCTAGGAAAGGACAGTTCAAAAATTGGTTTGATTTTTGTGAAGAAGGACTTCAAAGCCCAAGGGTGCGTAAAAGATCTCAGAGTGGTGATGAATTTGAATTTCTACCACAGATCCAATGTATAACAATTGAAGATACTGAGCAGCAGAAGGTTGATCACCCATCAGTAGATACATCAGATTTACTTCAAGAGCAAGAAATTTCTGAAGAATATTCAGTATCTCTAAAAACAATGAATAAATCCAATGAAGAGAGAGAAAACTTAGAGACAGTTGATAAAATGATGCTTCATAAAGAAGAAATAAAGGACCAAACTTTTAATAATACAGAAGGGACCAAGAATATTTCAGACCAAACAAGTAAAGACAATCAACCTGTGCATTTGCATTATCATGCAGACAACCAAACTGTTCCTTGCTCATGTGAGTGCCATAGTTGTGGATGTGATTGTCATTATATAACTGTTGACCTTGTAGAGCATAAAGCTTTCCATGATGTAGCTGAAGAAAACAAGATGACAAAAGACAGCCAGAGTTTGGCTGGTGCAAGTGGTTTAGCAGTAAAGTGTACCTGTGATTGTCATAAAAACTCTAATCAACCATCAAGGAAAGAAGAGATTGAAGGAAGTTTCACTTCACACCCAGGTTTTAATCTCAAGCAACAAAGCAACATGTAGTTGAAATATATTGCACATTCCAAACTGTACAGAAAATTACTTGGTAAGTTTTACTAAACTGTTATTCTGTTATGCTTTCTTTCTGTCTTTACAAGCATAATGGTAAGTCTTTATGTTACAGTTTGTTTTATTTCAGAGAAAGTGCTGTATTATTTTTGAATAGTGTAAGACAAGGATTTTTTTATTAGTGATCTCTATTCTGTAACTTTTTATTTCTATTTGGGCAATCAACATATCTTATTAGATATTACTAAACTGCAAAGGATTCAGTATTTTATTCACAACTCAGGAAAGTTATTCAACCCTTATCATCTAGCTAGATTGATTATATAGTATGTTGTACCAAGGGGTTTTTATATAATTACATATGTATTTCTCTGTCTCTGTTACAGTGTACATATACAGATTGTAAACTTAAGGCTTTACAATAAATTACATTTGATCTAACACAATATTCTTCAGTAGAATGTTACAGTACATAATTGTTAAACTAAATGTAAAAGAATGTTCTTTATTATAATACTGGAGAATCTAGGCTGAACAGTTAAGCTTGATGTAGCAGTATTTTTCAGTGGAATATTAAAGTAGATATGCTCAACAAAGCAAGATTTCTAACAACCAAACAAGTATGATATCTAAAACCAGACTGTAAACCACTATGGAACAGCAACTTTATCTACAAATTGCATGTTACAGTAATGAAGAGAACTCTTCTAACCTCACCTCAAAATCAATGGCTGTTTTCACCAAACATTTACCAAAGAAACTGTTATAACAGTAATCCTGTTTAACCATATATAAACTTATTAAAAGATGCAAGCTTAGCAGACAGTAAATAACATAATGTTATTCACAGGAACAGTGAAGTATACAAAAGGTTAATTGCACTTTATATGAAAAATTTCTGTACGCTAATACAGTGGAATATTGTCAAAACTATAAACCATGGCACCACAGGTGACATGTTTAGCACCTATATATTTGTTTCTGCAAATTCTAGCCATATTTTACAAAGTGCTGCCAAGATTAGGCTTATGGATAGAAATATGTGTCCCAGAAATTTCCAAGAAAGATATTTGTGTAGTAAAATGTTTAAACAAATTACAGCCAAAGAATTCAAGAGTATTCTCCATGGAAGCAGAAACTCATTTGTTTTGAGTGATATATTATGGTACCAAATTCCTACAATTAAGTAATATTGTGGTAAACAAAATATATTGAAGTATCCTGATTTTTTAATCCCAGCTTTCCTTCTAAAATTTAAATCATGCTGTCTATTTGTAAAAGACAGTATGAAGTTGAAGTAGTACAAGTATGTATATATATGTATTTATTAGGTATAAAAGAGGCACAGCAAAGATAATAAGGAAATAGAATGAACTATAAACTGGTCAAGAAGGAGTTAATGCCTGTTTATTTTGCCATTTCAGTACATTTGCTATAAGCTTCAAAAATATACTTAGAAAATATTAGCAATGTTTTTATATTTGAATTTTGTTGTAATCTGCATTTGTCATATATGTCACATGGTAGCTGTGAAACCCTTGTGTTTTGAACAGTATTCATGAATGATGGAAAGACCAGTATAGCTACAGGCTACTTTGCTGAAACATATTAGTTACTTTACAGATAACAGAATCAATGTGTGGCTTCACCTGCAGAGGAAAATAACATAGTACTTTTAGGAACTTCTGACTTTACCATGCAAAAGTCGGCCAATGCAGACAGTTGCAAGCTCAACATAAAATTACTAAAAATTCCATAGTTTATTATAATAGCCAGAATTGTTATCTTTTGTTTAATTTGTGTTCTTTGCAAGATTTCTAACAACTAAAGGAGCATGATGGGCCAAATGATCCCTTCTTATTAGGAAAGTTTCATATGATCTTGTTTAAGATGCACTGGGATGTTGTTTTGATGAAGAAATTTGACTTGAATGTGCTTATATTATGTGTTAATAGTATGTACCCATAAGAGAAGTGCATGTACATTAGTAGCTCATTTGTTTTAGAAATGTAGCATTAAGCATTGAATTGACCATGTTAGCAACATCTTTTGTTTAGAAGTATTTCTTTGGAATAAATACTTTTTTCATCCACTGAATGAATTTTATTAAATTAGTTGGAAGTGGTGATTTGTAAAATGACCATATATTGTTTAAAATTAAGGAATACAATGTTTTTGTTAAATGTCTAATGAAAGATGACAAATATTTTAGTAGAGTTTAACAGTTGTATTAACCTTAAAAATCAATTGTATTTCCTAATATAACATATTAATTACTTCATTTAATTATTTTTTACTAATTATTTTGATTGTATTGAATATCATGATCTTGTGCATGGTACTGTATTAAAGTTTCCTAAATGGAGTATTGCAGAATACTGCAACTCACACAGCAGAGCATTTAGAATAGCAATGAGCTCTGAAACCACACTGTAAGCCACAATGGAATAGTAGCTTTCTTCACAATTTCACAGTACAATATTGAAAGAAAACTCCCCAAAAATCCATTGTGATGAAGTGTTGCATACCTATTGGTATTATTATTAGGATAATAAATCCATTGTGATGAAGTGTTGTATACCTACTGGTATTGTTATTAGGATAAGAAAGAAGATAACTTGAAGCTGACAAAACTTTACAAGGTTCTAGCCTTATCTCAAAATCAATGGCTGTTTGTGCCTTTTATCTCTTTAAACATGGCTTTGAGAGATAACATCTACATACAATGGAGTATGTGTGGAAAGTTTGTCAAGATGTGTGATATAGATTCATCTTATTGTCCTTCACAGAAATTTATTACAATGGAAATTTTGATGTTTGACAACAGTGTATAATCATTGTCAAACTGAGTATGATCAAAGTTGAAAAAAAAAAGCTCCAATGGCTACTCAGGATGTAAAACATTGTTCTATAAAGTGTGATTAATCTCAGTATAATTTCAACAGTTAAGCTTTATGTAACTGATTATTCTTCAGTGAGATATAAAAAGATATAAGCTTTGTGGTTAAACATGATATAACAGAAAATTTCAGTGGAATATTGAAGGACTTAAATTGTGCATTTGATTTAATGTACCAGGATGTTGTTTATTGGCATATGAAGAATGTTTTGTATAATGCACAGATTTTAAAATTATCCAATTTTTACTGAAATTTATTTGTGTAAACTGTAATGAAATTAGCTGTTACACAAAGTATTACCTCTTCTTAGCTACATATTTAGTTTTGCTTTGATGTTTTTTTTACTGACATAGTCTAGTCTAACTAAACAAATTGAAATATGTGGGACTGACAACATCTTACTTTTTCAGAATATTGATACTAATAATAATTTTAATCTCTTTTTTTAAAAATATGATCAGGTATTTTAATACTAGTTGTTAGACCAATTACGGTGATATATGTATTTCCAAACATTACTTATATGCAGTCTTATAGAAAGCAAATCATTTTTATATTTTGATGGAAAAAATAAGTTGTGTATTGCTAATTGTGATCTTTTATGCTCATGCCACATTACTGATGTAGTGAAACAGGAAAAAAATAATTATACAAATCTCATTGACTAAGGAATTTAAGTTGTTTTCGGATTGAGTTTAATGTCTATGTAAAATTTATATCTATTTTTTGTTGACTTTGTTATTTACATTTATAATAGTGTTTTATATATATATATATCTCATGTAACTTTTATAATTTGATTTATCGTCTAATTTCCAGCAATAGAACACACAAGAAAATATATAATGGCTAAAAAGTTTTGTCATGATATTTATTTAGGTTTTTATTTTCCTAGGAAATTAGTGTAAACTTGTATTGAACCATGTTTCCTAAACTTTATCTGCTTAGGAGTATCTAGAAGTACTAAAAAACATGGCACACAACTAATTGCTCTTAACAAAGTGAGAATAAAGCCACACAAACACGTGAATAGCAGACATTGGTAAATAAAATGGCTTGCACTTCTTTTATCCATGGTCATCACATTAATTTTTTTAATGTATTGTAATTGTTTGTTTTTTCAAAGAGCTATTTAAAAGTGGAAATTATTGTGTGGCACATGTATATCTCATGAGATGTTATGTCATATTGTGGCCATGATAACATCTGTTATTTTGCCACACATCATAAAATATGGAATAATGCAAAATATTGAGTGTTATGTTATATTTGAAAAGACAGATAATTGGTTAAAATCGCAAGATTTCTGTCAGATTTTTTCAATTTCATATAGGTAACAAATTGCACAAGTTTTTCAAAGTTTTTTTTTTTAAGTAACAAAATGTCACAAGGCTGCAAAAAGGAAAAAGTTTGTATATTTCAAACACCAATTATTTCAAAAGTTATAAATTAAGGAAATATTGATCAGTTTATGTATTTGTCAAATATTATAATATTTTGGTTAGTCAGTTGTTTAGTTAACAGAGCTATAATAAGCAACAACAACATATTCTTGGCGTCTGTTTTGGTATAAGATCTACCGAAGTGAAACCTCAAAAGATTACCGGGGCTGCTCAGAAGTTTTAGTTCCTCTTCGCCCCGCTCGTGATGGAGGTAAGGGGCCATATTTGTAAAATAAGCAATTTTCGACGGGTTTAGTTTTAAATAAAGGAACCATCAGTAGCGCCCTCTAGAATGCATATGTTTTACTACAACTAGCACTTACAGTCTAAGAGTCATATTTTTTATTTCTCTTGATAAGCAAATTCAGAAATGGTTTTTCAGAGTTTTTCCAACCAGTAAGATTTGTTTTTAGCCTAAAGTTGTTAATTAATTTGTTAGATTTTGTATGTATTTATAAATATTAATTGAAGCTTGTAATATAAAAATTCGTAATCGTATATTTTATTCATTAAAAAAGATATAACTTTTTATTATACTAAGCGTGAGCGTAATCCTCTTATGTTATTCGGAACAATCCGATATTTGTTTAATGAATATGTAACATTAGACTGATTGATACTTTTAATTTTAACGTAACTATAAATGTATGCAGATACTGAGAAAAGAAAATATCATGTATGAAATGTAGAAAAATTGACGCGTTTTTTTCAGCATATTGATTTTTATGTGGAACGTGCTCTATGCGCTGAAGTATTTACGCCAACGCTGCCCATAGAAGCGTGGCACGTGTAAGGATTTGGTTCAATCAATTGCGTTCGCTTACACTGCATGTTCTACTGCAGATCAATAACAATCGACTTTTTTTTGTCAAGTATCACATATTATTTCCCGTGCTATTGTTTGTAATTATTTTTCATTTTCAAGTTATATTATGTTCTATTTTTGAGCATAAAATAAAGAATAAAAACACGTCATGTTTTTAAGCTATCTATCTAAAATCAGAAATTTAAACTTTAGGCAAATTTGTCAAAAAACAGACACCATACAATGACGTCAGATGCTGACGTCAGAAACTGTGTATCACTCTACACATGAACTCAGCGTTTCAATTCGAATGGCCAGAGGAGGAGGTTGAGCTTTAGCCAATGAGAGACCAGTATCTTCAGACGTTTTAGAAGACATTTTCTAAGTAGCATTTTTGCAGTTAGCCTTTGAGAGTTAGTTTTGCCACAGAACAGACTTTGAATTTTGTAAGTATCAGTGTTTCTGATTGTCAGCATTAATAGTTAAAACTCAGTTACATATGCCTAATGGTGGACTGTTGGTGTAATTGAACTGTAATCGTGTGTTTTCTCTATAACACTAACCTTACAGTGGTAGCTAACTTTATCGATCACGCGTTGCAACACTGATTATAAACGGTTTTGTAAACACTTAAAAAGTGTGTTTGTGTTTGACTCCAAAGAATGACCCTTGCTGTATTTTATATGTTTCAAAAATTGAGGTAAGTGTATCTCATATTTTTCTTATTGTCATAAATAAACATGACCTAAACCCAGGAATCTGTAACTTTTTTTTTACAAGACATCAAAAGGAAAAAGTTCAAACAGGAACGGAAAAGTTATAGAAAAAATGTAAAAATATATCAAAATATTTGAAAAGTTTGAAATATTTAAATTTTACTATTTATATCTGTACTTTATAGTTGTATAATTTACAGTTATCATGTTTTCCACGAAGGATTTACTGCTGTACATGATGAAACCCGCACTATCAGAGAGAAACGTCGTTTTTGAACAAGCTTCGAAACACACTAAAAATAAATATGAAGCTAAACTATCAATTGATTCATCACTTATGACTGAGTGATGCCGGTTTCGGAATTTTTAGCCCTCATCAGTAACCACGAACAAGGTGTTTTAATGGGCTTTTCCTCACCACTTGTAACCTTAAATGAGGTACACTGTGGTGAGTAAAAGACTAATAAAACACTATATATTTAACATGTCATGCAATATTATAAGGAACCTAGTCATGTTATTTCTGTTTATCTTTGTCCATGGCTAGTGATGAGTGGTGGGATTCATTGAAATTAATATAAGTCGGTGACAAGTGGTGAAACGAATGATTGATTGGGCTGCAGAAATAATTTTTAGTATCTTAAACAGCTTGTCTACTGAATATTTAAGAAGAATAAATTAGTAGAATCAGTACTACATATTTTTCAGTTCATATATAAATATCGGTTCATTGTAGTAAATAAAAATACAACTAAAGACACCATACACGCAATCTTCAAAACAATTGGATGGCGGGGTGGATGCGTGCTTTGCTGTCTTAGTACGTTATACACAGCAAACGGTTTGACAGGGGCTAATGTATTTCTATATTTATGACTATTGATTAGGGTAAATGAGACCTAACATAAATATCCATACAAACTCTACTAGTAGTACATTACCAAACAGTAAACTGATGTCGGTGTTCGTCACATCTGCGATTTGCTTCTCTCAACAATGTCTTCAATATTATCTGTGGATGTCTTCAAAACAATTAAAACATTTGGTTTGAATTGTACTTTATATCTATGTAGCTTTATTTTTTAGTAATATACTTTTAGACCGGTTATGTAACAATTTTATTTAGAATCAACATTTTATTTTTTTTCTAATTGAAAACAAAGTTTTCATTAGATCATTTTTGTGTTGCGATATTTGTTCACACATCTTTGTTAATCTGGGTGTTTCGTTTTCAGAATAATAATTGAAATCAATACAAAAGATTATTTGGTCAGAGCGGAACATTTTTGTATAGCTTAATATTCAAATAATAAAATTGCGTCTAGAAACAATTAGTAAGAAATCTCATGATTTTAAAGGAAAGGCCTGTTAAATTATGGGTCCTCGATGCGACAGCGATAAGTCTACGGTAAGTTCGATTTCCCGCGGTGGACACAGCAGATAGCCCAATGTGGCTTCGCAGGAAAACACTAGAAAAAACCTAAACTCCAACCATGTTTATTTATAATAACATTGAATGAATTAAAACTTAAGCGCCGTTTACCTTGTAGGAACGAACTGTTTAGTTATTATTAATAAAACGTCATAAAGCTGCTATATAAGGCTGCCGCTTCGGCTTTTACTTTAGACAACATATAAGCTCAGCTTTTAATTGTTACCGTCACTAACTGCGCGTTTCAAACTTGTCACGTAAAAGTAGTTAGTATATAGTGACGATAAGAGTACTTGAGTCGAAGAAGTAAGTAAATGATAAAAAAGATTAAATTTATTGTATTTGGAAAACTTAGTAGTAATATTTAAACTAAACCATTAAAAATATTCGCTTTTTATTGAAAACGTTTTGAAAGATCATATAAAGTATTTTTATTTAGAAGGTGTAGATTACAAAACATCCAAATCATCTATTTTATAAGGTTTCGCATAGAATAATAGCGTACATATAATGTGCACGTCATGCATGTGTTACCCATTTGGATTTACTGTACAGAACGACCCATCTCTAAATAAAAGCATTTCACTTATTTTCTGACGAGTATGTTTGAGACGATTCCAAAGAGTAGTATGTGATAACTGAATTTCATTCTACGTAAGATGTCTGCCGATGTAATTCAGTACATAATGAGCTGGCCAGGTGGTTAGGGCGCTCGACTCGCAATCTGCGGATTTGAATCCCCTTCACACCAAACATACTTGCCCTTTCAGCCGTGGAGGCGTTATAAAGTGACGGTCAATCCAACTATTCGTTGATAAAAGGAGTAGCTCAAGAGTTGGCGGTGGGTGGTATGACTAGCTGCCTTCCCTCTAGTCTTACACTGCTAAATTATGGACGGTTAGCGCAGATAGCCCTCGTGTAGCTTTGCGCGAAATTCATAACAAACAAACATAATGAGTTTAAGAGGCCTGACGTTGTAATTCAATTGATAATGTCGTGTTTAATATATTTGTTTTTTTATTGATTTTAAAGTGATTAGCGTGGGACTCGGAAGGACTAAATGCTAAAGTGATACTGATTGCATTATGTCTGGACAGAAAGAACGTTTCTAGAAATGAACAACTTATCTTACATCTGGATCCTACAAAGATGATATGACGCATGTACGTTTATTTAACAAAGTGCCAGCAAGCCAAATGTTTTAGATTGTACTTTAATATATATGTATAAATTATATCTATTTTATATTTCTAGAACTGAATTAATTAAAGCTGTGTGTAAATAAACGTCATTTTATGAATGCATTTAGAAAATTAATAGTGATATGTTAACGTAGCGTTCTTTGACTTCTTTATTCCGTCTTGATTACACACACATATATATATTTAATAAACAAAGATGCCCACTTGAGAAAGAGGTTGGGAAGTTTATATTTTCTTTCTACACATGCAATATTTTTCTTCTCAAAGTGGCCCGGCATGGCCAGGTGGTTAGGGCGCTCGACTCGCAATCTGCAGGTCGAGGGTTCGAATCCCTATCACACCAAATGTGCTCGACCTTTCAGCCGTGGGGGCATAATAATATGACGGTCAATCCCATTATTCATTGGTAAAAGAGTAGCCCAAGAGTTGGCGATGGGTGGTGATGACTAGCTGCCTTCCCTCTAGTCTTACACTGCTAAATTAGGGAGGCTAGCGCAGATAGCCCTCGTGTAGCTTTGCGCGAAATCCACAACAAACATCTCAAAGTTTCGGTTATGCATTTTTATCAAGAGATTGTATACTACTGCGATGGTGCTGGTGTAAAATATCGCTTCAAATCTAAGTAAAAAAAAAGGAAAAGTAATGTTTGTGTGAATTCCACGTATAATGACAGTCCTTATATTACCGAATTTATCTTTGGTAAGTCTATCTGTAAAGGATTGCAAAATGTATTTGTAGAATTGTAGAACACATGTTACCGATTACTGTTTGCGTGATAAAACAAACATAATTACATTTCTTTTATGATATTTGTCTCAGAAACTTACTTAGAGTGGTTTTAATTACTTTATATACTCGAACATGTAGATTTCATGCCACTAATACTTTTTCAGGTGAACAATTGTAGATAAATAAATTGCATGTTTTATTTCACGTTCGTAACCAGACCCATGTTCTCCTATAGCACTTAGAACTACGTCACCAAACCGGAAGTTCATATACTTTGTGTGCTGTCGTTGTGAAATCGCTTTAGATTATTTCCAGTGTTATTATTATTATTACGGTTTTATAGTTATTCTAGTCTTCAGTTTCAATCAAAATGTACTGAAATAAGTTTTGTAGGCCGTTATGTTATTGAATTGTGTGAAATAAATTTGGAGTCGTAAATAGGCATTTTAACGCCAGAGGCAGGCGAGCATATCCGTTTTTCCCCCTTTTTGTGGATATTAGAATGCAATA